TTCTTCTCCTTCAGTCTTCCAGTACCAGGCATTCCTGGGGAACATCTACCGAGTATCAACAGGATCTGTCATTTCAGGTGATGTACTGGCAACCACAACAATTTTAATAATTAAAGCTAATTGCATCACTTTCCTTTTTATTTCGTATCACAGTTGCTATAATGTTAAGGGCTGGCATTCTAGAGGGATATGCTAGGTTCCAATTCTTGTTTCCAATAGTTGGTTTTTTTTTCAATCCACATGTAGATGATTGTAAAGTATTGGCTCTGTTCTTGGGACAACATCAGTAATCTTACTCTCTTCCTCTCAGGCAAGTAGCATAACTACTTGGTTCCAGAAACAAGGTTTTTTTATTCTCTCTGCACCAGAGAAACAGATTTTATCCTCATCAGTGGGATGAGGATACAAAGCGAAGACGGTCCTGACCAAACCAAAAATCTAGTGGTTAAACCATTTCCCTGAAAGGTGGCAGCCACAACCCTGACCTTCACATGCACAAATAAAACTGAAACTGAACTGCTTACAAGAAAGTCCTTTAACCTAACTGAATATTGCATTAGAGAGAAAATGTCAAGAAAGATACAGGGAGGGAGATAGAGGAAGCGGGAGAGAGAGATTGCTTCTAGAAATGTATTACCCTTATAGTTTAGTTTCTCTACCAATATTTTCTCAACCTGACAGGCTGAAATGTTGTAGAAACGGGCAATTTTTCAGGTATAAAGTTCAGAACTTTAGTGCAGACCCATGTCTTCTTTCAGAACTTTAGTGCAGACCCATGTCTTCTTTACAGTTTTGTTAGGCTTTAGAGATATATTTTTCTTTGTAAGAATCATAGAATGGTTTGGGTTGGAAGGGACTTTAAAGATCTTCTAGTTTCAAACCTCCTACCATGGGCAGGGACACCTTCCACTAGACCAGGTTGTCCATTAGCAATACTTTAAGCAATGTATTTAATTTCATCACTGCAAACACCTGCATGCTGGGCAAACGGGAAAGTATTAATTAGGAGTTTACCTTTTATATAGTTTGCTGGGAATGTTCCTTACCCCTTTTTCTTGACTAATGGTTTGATGAATATAGCTGCTTTGAGTTAGAGGTACCATGTCCAAGTGTTGTGGTTTAACTCCATCAGGCCGCTAAGCACCACACAGCAAACCTCGTACACCAAGGTAGGTTATACTGTGTGAACATATGTATTTTATTTTATTTTTTAATATATTATTTTCCATAAACAAACACACAAGATTTTCTAGTCTTCAGATTGTAGATACAAATACTAGGAAGGTCTCAGTCCTACAGAGATTTGTAATAGCTTTTTTATTAATGAGGAATTGAGCTTATGAAAAAATAAAGTCCGTAAGCAGAACAATAATTAAACTTGAGTTTTATAAATACCTAAGACTACCTTATCAAATTATTTTGCTTCTTCCTCATCATCTCAGTTCTTGAAGATAACATATATAGAGAATGCTTGTAGAAAGAATCCTTAGAAAACAAAGAGGTACATGTCTTAACCGTAATTCCAGTGATAAAACTGAGCAATTAAATTATATAGGAATATGTACCATTTGATTTTCAAAAAGAATTTCATATATTCAAGTTTGGTCAGTTTTACATTGAGGTATTTTTGCATACATAATTATATATACATATATAATTAATTGTGGAATTAGCACCCTGCTGTGAGATTTCCAGTGTCACTTTGTTTTGACATTTGACCATGTTACTCAAGATGTGAAAGCAATGGGTTCCTGTCTTCTACTAATGCTCCCAATGTTTATTCTTTCTGTAACTTTTACAAATGAGGATAGATAGTTGAATGGTCTGTTCAGGCATTCTTACCAATGAAAAAGAAAATCCAGAATAAGTCTTCCAATAAAGAAAGTCAATAGTGAAATTTGGTTTGGAGATGAAAAATTAAGAATTAGTAGTAGGTAAAGTCAAAGACTACTTAAAGAAAATTTCTTGACTGGTTTGCAATAGAAAGACTGCTTATGTTTCCCAACTCATTGCATTCTCTAGTAATAGGAACATAAAAATCTTGAGGAAATAACTGACATACACTGGGCCAATTAAACCTTATTGCAACTTAGTTTTGAGACTGTTAAGGAAGTGTTATTGTGTTTTGAATGAGATTTATTATTTTCCATAAAAGCTGGCAGGTGGTTTCACAGATCTTTTAGTGGCAAAGCTAATTTAATAGTTCCCATGTGCCCAGGGGTGTTTGTTCCAGTGGGTGAAGAATGGCAGAAAATTACTGCCTCAGAAATTATGCCAGTTCACTGCTTGTGAGCTGTGCTGTAAACCCAGATTAATTCTCTAACCCTAAAAGAAAAAAATGTACCATCTTTCTTTCTGAAGTCAGAGAGAGACTCTGAGATAAAGCCTACCTCTGGAAAGTTTGTTTCATGGAGGCAGATACGGTTCAGTAATCCTGCTGCATTTTGCCATTACCTATGAGTTGGAAACTGCAGTGATACACTTAATCCAAGAGAAAAGGAGGACTCTCTGTCTCCCTGAGTCTGTCTTCTTTGTGATACTGAGGGCAGTTGACACAGAACCACACCCTCAAAAAAAGCATAAATCAAAATTTAAGATACAGAGCAGAGGCAGCTCAGGTAAGCAGCAGCAGCACTTTCTGTAGAACACCCAAGAGGAAGCAAGAATTATTTTTATAAGCACGAAGAACCCTGTGTCCCGCTGCTTGACTTCCTCTTCTGTTGAAAAGGACAGTTCGGCTCACTCATTAGTTTTGTCAATAAACAGGTAAGTCTCCCACCAAGTCTTCAAGTAAGAAGACATCTGAGATTACGTGTTCTTGGTTATCTACTTGACTGAGAAGAGGTATGTGCAATTATAAACATCATATTCATTAAATTCCTGAACTCCTTCAGGCTAAGAATGTGATTTGATACACAGGTTAAAATTGGAAAAAAAAAAAAAAAGAAAAAAGTCAGCAATCCCTACTTGTTCTGCTTATGTACTCTACTCAGCAGCTTCAGGTTGTTTATTGTTGTGGGTTTTTTGTTTGGTTGTTGTTGTTGTTTTTGTTTTTAATTGGGTTTTAACGTTTCATTACCTATTCAAAACTGTTTCTAATGGTTTGCATAATCTATTCTCAGGACTGCTGTACGACCTTTTCTACTTGGACACTGCTGATTAGCCAAAAGCGCAGCTAAAGCGTTGCAGAATTTGCTCCCATCAGGACTCACCTTTGAATTGTGAAAACAACTGTAAAATCTTAGTATTAATAGATCCTACAAATGGAAATGTGAACAGGTATCTAAACAATTAATAGTGCTCTGTCACAAGACTCAGAAAATGCTTATTCTCTGGAAAAGTCTTTTTCCCTTGTGCGCAAAACCATAAAAGACCAAATGCCCAAAAGCATTTTTACTTTTTGCTTGTCCACATTTATCTCAGGTACTGAATCACCATAATCTTTTAATATGTGTATGTCTGAAAAAAATATTGTATAATAGATAGTGGCTACAGTTTGTGCCATGAATAGAGCTGACAGTCAAGCACAGAGGAAAAGGTTATTTCCTGAGCGCTTTATCTTTGTCAAGTGCATAAATGGTACTGACATACTATTTTTGAGAACCTAATTTTCTGCATATTTTCTTTACTAGAAGATTGGGGGATAGTGGGGGGATGAAATGTGAGATAGGGTGATTGTCCCAAACAAGAAATTGGCAGTCTGGTATTGGGAATCTACTTGTGGATAGGTGTAGTCAGGGGCCAGTAGGAGTATTTCTGCACACAACGTTGGTGCCAGGTGAAAAAAACATTCAGTAATGTACCTGCATTTATAATCACTGCAATATTGTTTCTTAAATGCGTGTTTGTTTTTTTCTTGGGTATTTAACATGAGTAAAACTAACTAACTAAATTATTTAGATTAAAATAACTTACAGCATTTAAACTCTAAGCTATAATTGCCTGTGCCTTGATATAAAGATATGGCTTTTGTTTCCTGCTATGTCAGTAGAAAAGTCCAGCTGCAGTTGCTGAAATACAAAGTGGGCCAAGGTCTAAGCATGGGAGCCAGTTTACCAGACTATAGATCTAAACTGGAGTTCAGCTGTGAAGATGAGGTAAGCAGGAGCAACGTCCCTGTGCACTAAGGGACTGTGAATGCAGGGTCACATTTTGGGTCACCAGAATTATTTCTGAACACTTGCGTGAATGCTGCCGTGGTGGCAACTACTTCCACAGGACCTGTGGCCCCTCAGGGCAGGTGCACTGCTCTGCCCTTACAGTAAGCAGCTCCAGTGCAGCTCTGATAACAAACCGGTCCCATGCGGATGTCGGGGGGCTCCGGTGAAGAGCGATTGTCCTCAGTCGTATCTCCTCAGCCCTGAGCCCTGCTATGCCGTGGCAGCGAGGAAGGTCCCGGCACGGTGAGCACAGCCACAGGGGGGGCAGTGACAGAGAAGCCTTGCCTGGCCACAGCTGAAACCCACTGTTGTCAAGGGAGACACCCCCAAATCTGCCTGGGTGAGAGGCTCCCCCACGGGCACCCCCCTGAGGGTGGCACTGCACCCCAGGTGCTTTGCAGCAAACGACAAACGCAAAGCAGGAGTGTCAAGGAGTCATCTCCTTTAGGACACGATGCTCCGCGCCCATCTCGCCCCCTCGCTGCGCCCCAGCGTTGATACTGCAGGGTTGAGGGGGCCGGGCTCAGGAAACCACGTCTGGGAGCTGCAATATTAAACTGCTCCTGAGGGCGGGGGGCGACCTCGGCGTAATCCCTGCTGCTGTGTGTAAGCACGGCCTGCCCCGTTCCCCAAGGCCGGGCCGGGCCGGACCGACCCGCACGCACCGATCGCCCCCGAGCCCGCAGGGCGGGCGTTGCGGGGCAGCACCGCCCCGGACCGGGTCGGCGGCCCCGCGCAGGCGCAGTGCGGGCAGGGCGCGCCCGGCGGCGCTGGGCCGGGCTGGGCCGGGCTGGGCCGCGCCAGGCGGGGCGGTGGCAGCGACGGCGCTGCCAGCGCGGAGGAGCGCGGGCGAGGCGCCGGGAATGGCTCCGGGAATGGCTCCGGCAGTGACCGGTGGGGTTCCGCCGACTGCGCCATCGTTGGGCTCCACGGCTGCCTGGCTGGGCGGCAGCTCCGCTCTCGGTGGGTCGCTGCGGCCTCGGTCCTTCTCCGCGGGGGCAAGCTTCAGCCCGGGACCCCCTCGCTCTCCGCCGGCAGCCCCTGAGCCTCTCCGAGGGCTGTGACCTCGCTGGGCAGCGCCACCGTCTGCTGCCGTTCGGGTGCCTCGGTTGACCCCGCTGCTTCTGCCGGGGGCCTCCCCGCTCTCACGGCCGGGGCCGGGGCCGGGGCGGGTTACGGGGGGATCCCCGGCATTGGGATCCTGCGCGGCTCGCGGCTGAGCGGCACGGCCGGGGCACGGTGCCCTCCGCCCTGGCCCTCGGCAGCCCGGGCAGGGAGGGGGCTGAGCCTCCGCGGTGACAGCGGCTGAGGTTTCTCCCGCCTGTCCGCGGGGCTCTCGGGGCGGGCGCTCCCGTGTCCCGCTCGGGCGGGCTGCGAGTGCCCTCCGCGATCACAGGACTCTTAAGTGTCACGACAGCCCCGGCCTGTGGATTGAGTAGTTGTGGCCACGAGTTGCGGGATAAAATAGAAAGAAAAGAGTGTAATGAGCTGTACAAACTCGAGGCTGGCGACTCCTCCGAAGTTGATTTTTTTATTCCAGAATTGGATGTCTCTTAAGATAGAAGTGCATTAAAGAATTGTTTCTACTTCAGCCTCTCTTGTGAGTTTAAACTTGGCTTAACGTTTGGGTTTTAGAAGTTAAGTTGACTGTCACCCTTGAGAACTCCAAAGAGCCCTCGCACACAGACGGTCAGCAGAAGTTAGCTCAAAATTACATTTTTTTTGTTTATGTCTAACCCCAACTGTTATGGTACTAATAATGTATAAGTGAAACTGAATTTGTTGCCTGTGTAGTCTGAAGTGCTTTTTTTGTGCATTGTCTGTGCTTCTCAAACACTTATGTTAAAAATTGATGCTCATTTTTATCTGGTGGGTAAGTGTACCAGCTTGTTTCAGAGTAAACTTTAAACTTAATAGAACGAGTTCAGATGGCCATACCTACTAGCAAAAAATTAGATAATAACTGTTTCTAGTTTCTACTTTTTCTGTGCTTTTTGTACATCTATATATTTCTTGGTGCAGGCCAGGTTGGACAGAAAGGTTTGAGGTATCTACCACCTGCTGTTTGTTTTCTGAAAGCAAGAGGAATGGAAGGCTTATCATCCAGTCCATCCTTCTCTTTGGGAGAGTGGAAAGAAATAAGTACCACTAGGCATCTTGAATTTCAGATGTATTGACTGGTAGCTAGTGCTGCCTGAGGCTCTAATTCTTTTTTGGTTTTTAGGTTTTGTGTGCAGAGGCAAGAGCAGGAGAGGAGTTGTGGATTTTTCTTCTCTTCTTGATCATTACTCTCTCTCTTTTTTTTTTTAACAGATAAAAAAATAATTTGTCCTTTGGTGGTTGTTACTTCAGAATATTACTGCATGTTTCTACATGTTGGGATTATGCAGTTTGCCTACTACTGGCATTTTGAAGAGAGTGTCAACAGCTGTTTTAGTAAACCAAAGGTTGTGTATTCATAGGCTTATATTGACTTTCTACAAGTGTTTATACTCAGGATTGCTCTATTGAGCTTGAAGGCAGTTACGCTGGAGGACTGTTAGTATGTGATGTGCCTTTGTAGGATTTAATAATGATAACAGCAATTTAGTCTGGTATATCTAGATGAATAGAATCAACTTCTGCAAGCTAAAAGTTGACAAGAATAGCAAGAAATGTGAAACGCGTGAAAGAATTTTGTTCTTCCTCTGAGCTTGACACGCGGCTTGCTGTCAATGTGTCTGCTGTATCACAAGATCACAGTATATCTCTTTACACAAGAGATATACTGGTTTTGGTTAAAATTGATTTTTGACTCCTGTAAACTAGTGAGGGTTGTTAGGTTGTGTAAATGCATTGATATAATGTGCTTGGTAGCATTGATTTAGTGCTGCTCACTAGATGCTGATTGCACTTGTAAATTTATCTGTGATATGCAATAGTTTTAAGTATCTGATGTGTCCAGGAAGGATTGTACTTATTTTTTTAACAGCCAAACTGGTGAAGTGTGCTTTATTAAATGCACATGGTGGCTGTTTGCAGTGTGTGTTTTATTTGAAAATTGAAATTTGAGGAAAAGTTTTCCAACAGAAGTGGAAATGCAAAGCATCAATTCTCTGTGTTTTTGCAGTAGGAGCTATGTGCTGCTCAAGTAGTCATTGAAGCAATTACACCATATGCACTGCAATTTTAGCACTGGTAAATAGTGAACGTGAGCTTTTTGTTTCTGTATATGTTTGTGCAGCATTATCAACCACATATTGTACTTCACAAAGAATGGACTGAATCTCTGTTACTTCCCTTAATATTTCAGTTTTTCCCTTTCTGAACAGGACAGAACTTCTCTAGTTATTCTTAATTTATTTTTTTTCTCATTAAATTCTGAATAGTATCAGATGCCTTCATGGTGTGACTGTTTGGACTGGCCAGATGACTGACAAGATGATTTATTAGGTTTGGTCTTCCCTTTCAGTTCCTAACAAGCTCTATGTGGCAGTGTAGAAATTGCAATGCTTTAAAATAGTTGAGAGTTATGTGAATTATACAGTAATGCTTTTAGCTGTAGTTTGTTTGCTGTGAAAAGGAGCTGTCCTTTCATAGCAGGTATCTCCTCTCTGAACCCCCACCTCCAGGGTTTCAGAGAAGACTGCCTAAAACTTTTTGCAGACAATTCACTGGAAGTGTTGATAGCGTGTGTAATTCAGAAAAAATTGGGATTAGTAAAGAACTTGTCAGGGCGGAGACTTGCCTTTCAGAGTAGAACACTCTCCTTCCAGACCCACTGCAAAATTTGCCCTCAGTCATAATTATTGTAATGACTTCAGTGAGCCGAAGACTGTCTTTAATGTAAGGACGTGTAGCAAGCCTGAGGTACTATGAAAAACTTGCTGGCTTGTGGTCGTGAGCAGAGTGTTGGGTAGCAAGGATGCTGCAGGTGGGTCCTCCCTGAGACTTGCTGTGTATGTCTTACTATCAGCATTCACAAAGTAGGTGCAGTTGGAATGTGCTCTAAAGAAACGTGGTTGATCCTTCTGCTCCTTTTCTTGAGATACTGCTTTTGACAAATCTAACGAAGGTTTTGAAGTCTGTTCTTAACAGCAATTCTTAATCAACCTTGCTTAACCTCTAAGGGAGTTGGCAGTGCTGTTATTAGTTGTCAGTATGTTCTTTCATCATGTGGCTTCCTTTTTGTCACCATGTTTCCTGCTTATTTCACTTATGGCTGTAGGTTCTGATTACTACAAGGAAGCTAGAAGTTGAGCGGAATTCACAAACTTGTTGAATGTTCTTCTTCGATGATAGGTGGTTTTCCTTTGTTACTGAGTTTATGCATATTCCCTGAAGTACAATTTCCTTGAACAATAGACAAAGCAAGTGGTAGGCAATAGGTTTTCTTCACTTAAGAGTTTTTTCTTCTAGAAAATAAGTATTTTTCAACCTGTTGTCTTTACTGACTTTTCTAGTTTGTCTGCTCTCTTCTATAGCTACCACCTTACTAATAAGGCAGAGAAGCCCAAATGTTTCCTGAATATTTTTGTATGTGTGTGTTTTGGGCAGTGGTATATTTTGACTTGTGATTGAAATTCCTTGTTATTTCATCTGCTTAGTTTTGCAGAAGCAATTTGACTGTAGTATTCACAACAGATAAATACTGTTTAAATCGGTTAACTTGTAAAACGTGTATTTAATTTGAAGTTGCATCAAACTGTTCTTATTCAATTTATTATTGGTAAAATAACTAAAAACCTGTATTAAATAAGTACATGATTACCATCAGAGTAAATGAATTGCCTAGATGATTTCACTGCTAAGCACTTGAATTAAAAATCTAAAAAATGAAATTCAGCTTTGATAGTAGAAACCTCTACTGCAGCTCTAGTTAGGGTGGTTTACTATATCTCTGAAATAAGTTGAATGTACTGAATGAAAGTCTTTAGCTGATTTAGAACTTTCTTCTTTTAAGAAAATATCTACCACTCCTAAAATACCAAGAAATATAAGCTGGTATTTAATTAATTTCACTAAAACTCAAATTAAGTTTTTAAAAATAAAGTTAGTTCTCTTAAATTCCTGAGAGTGAGGTATTTAGTGTGTATTTAGGAAATTGAGCTAATAAACAGGGGGTTTTTATTTTTATGCCTGAACTTAAAGGTAATTTAAAATGAAAAAAAGTTTTATTTTAAATGATACTTAAAATGAATGCTATAAATCAAAGAACACATCCAGATTGAGCATCCTGATTTAGCGAAGGTGTCCCAGCTAACGGCAGGGGAGTTCGGACTACACAGTCTTTAAGGTCCTTTCCAATCCAAATCATTCCATGATCCATCCGCCTTAGATGTCTGGCCTGGAGGTAAGAAGTCTCACTAGAGTTTAATGGAGTTTAGTGCTTCATCCTCTCCTGGCTCTAAGGGAAGTATATTCTAAATATGATCATCAGATGCCTTTTCCTTGCAGAGGAGCTGGGCTTACAGGCTGCCGGACCATTCCTGCCTGTGGCGTTGCCAGCTTCATCAGTGCTTTGATGATGCTCTTCTAACAGTGTGTAGGTCTGCATGGTGAATTGAACTAGAGGTGATCCAGGTATGGAAGAAAGAAAAAGAAAAAAAAAATCGCCAGAAAACCGCAAAAAAAAGGAATCAAAACCCACCCATGGAAGCCATATCCTGTCTAATTATTTTGAACCTTAAGTGACTGCTCTTTTCCTGCAGATGTGAGGACTGGCATGTTAGTGGTGAGGAGGGAGAGAAACGCATAAACTGATGTTGCTACCGAGGCATGTTTTCCAGCTGTGCTTAGCTGAGATGTTTGAGCAGATCATGTGCCATATCTGAATATTTCATTTGTCTTGTACTTAAATAGGTTGTACGTGATCATATTTAATTTCTTTAAATATTAATTAATGTTAAGACCAACAATAGTTTGTTTCTGTACACTGTGAGATTGATAGCTATGTTTCATTTTCATGCCTGAGAGAGGAAATATGATCCTGTAACTCCTTGAACTTCATGGAGAAGAAAATAGCAAATATATATATGTACTTATTTTTAGCAGGTAGATTGCTAGAAAAATCAAATTCATAAAATGTAAACAAAGCTCTTTAAAAGGCATGCCATAAGATATAAAGGACATGGGCGTAATGAGCAAAATCCAGTAACCGAATAGGATTCTTTATCAGTAGAGCAGAGAGAAGATTACATCATTGTTTATGGGCCACTTTCTGTAAATTAAACAATACAAAAACAAGTGGGATGTGCTTGAAGTAATCAGCTGGATGTAGATTATGCTTAGATTTAGTATAGAAGAGTTAGAAAAATACAGTGCATTATTTTAATGATTCGTTGTATGTTGCTTATATAAGATCTAAACAGTTTTGATCTTTGTTATTAAAAGGATTTATTTTTCAAGAATCTGAGTAGGTTTTCAAGCAAGATAAGATTAGCAGTAAATATTTCTAGAAATTTCTCGTGTGCTTTTTGAAAAGTTCGAGAATTGTCTATATTAATAAAAATTTAAAGCTTTGAGATAACTGTGGCTCATATTGGAGAGGTCCAAGTGATCGTGCCAAGTATGAAGTCTTTTGAAGTACATGCAGTTAAAACCAAGGGAAGAATAATTCTGCACCTCAGTGCAAGCAGAGTCTGAGATTGTGGTAGTAGGTACTAAAGGATGAGTTGTTCTGACCCTCCATTTGCATTGAAAAAGACAATAGATGTGGAGGATGAGCTGTTACCTTTGCAGGATCTTTAGCCATGCTTGGCAGGTAAGTTGTCTAAATTAATCCCACTTTTTGACAGCAGGATGAAGTAGAATGACCTCTCTGAGGTGCTCCCAGCTCTCTTTTCTGTGAGCTCATAAAACCTGGAGGGGGAAAGTTTGTAACATAGTATTACCTTCGCTTATGGTCTGCTCTAGCTTCATTCTTCTCCCAGCCTTGAAGACATTGTAGTCTTGGCATATTTTTGGGGTCAGACATTATTTTACTAATATGGAGGGAATATGGTATTTAACTAGGATGTTAGTAATATGCCTAGGCCATGTAAAAGTTACAATTTAATGAAGGATGAAATATCTTTTCATTAATGTGCTAACTTTTTCCTCCTAAGTTCTGTTTCCTAAAGGTGCTGTAAAATTTTCTTGAACAGTTGCTAAAGTGGACAAATACTGCCTTTGTGTCAGAGTAACACTGATTAGAACCAGTGTAAAAGTCTTGTCTGAGGTTGACTGTCTTTATATTTTACTTCCTAGGTAAAGAATAAGTAAGGACAGTCCATATTCAACTTCAGTACCTAGCATATATTCATTTTTAAGCCACAAGAGCACATGGCATCTGAATTAGTAACATGAGTGCAATTCATTATTTACATTTTTAAGCACCACTTTAAATGTGCTGAATATTGCTCCTAAATATTTTCATTTAGATTACATCTTCAAGTAATTTTGATATGTAGACTGGTATACAATGACTGGCGTATAAAAATGCCAGGACAGCAAAACACTGAAGCAAATTAATTCCTTTATGAATTGACTTGAGTCAAGGAAGATTGCTATGGCTTGAACTTGTCATTAAAACCATTGAGTAGCAATGTGAATTGTGAGAATGACGTAGTCTGATAATAAGCATAATGTGCCTCTGGGGAAAGGGAATGGGGATCATACAATGAATGATATAGCTATGACTTGGGACATAAAATATATTGCTCATTTAGATAGGCAAGGCTTGGCTTTGCATAATGTCTAAGGTTTTTTAGGGCAGGCTGTGTAGGGTGTTTGATAATGAGAGCTGAGTGCTTTGCTCTGCTTGTAAGCACCAAATATTTGGTGCACCAAGTATTTGATTCAGCTGGTTAGTTTCTTCCAGGATATTTTGGTTTGCCGTTCGTGAATTTTTACATCTCTGAACAAAAAATGAATGGCATCAAGCAGTTTATGGACTTTGTATAAATGATGTGGTTTTATAGAACTGCTATTGATTTAATGTTTTACTAATAACAAGCAAAATGCCTTGCAAAGTTATTTGTTTCTTGTTGAATTTTACTGGGAGAGTTGGATTTTAAGGTATCTAAAGGCAATGAAAGAAAAGGCATGTACGCTTATGTGTATAAACTGGTATGGTGAAGTATCCATGTTAATTTAATGTGTTTTTAAATGAAAAAAAGATTAGTTATGTTTTCCTGCCTAGTTCAAAAACTCTGTAAATCTTAACCCAGTTATCTGACTAATCTGTGCTACAGAGTATTCGGTTGATAAATTATGAATTTTTCAACATTATTCTGTCAGGGAAAAAAGCGCCAATATAGGCACAGTTCTCCTTTTAACTTGCATATATTGCATCTATTCTTTGAGGATTTGTCTAGATTGTCATCACCTGTTGACTGCAGATGAGATTGTAGCTGATATGGTTTTTTATTGGTGTTTTATGTGTCTACGAGCAGTTATACTAAATCATAAAACAGATTATGTAGGAAGAAAAAGAAACAGAAAACAAAGAAACTCAAACTATGGTTCTTAACATGCAAACATTTACATGTGTTATATATTAGGTAGGCTGGGAATCTCAAACTGAGTGGTTTCTAATGGTTTGCTCTTTCAGAGGGTGGTGATGGTATATATTTTCAGTGGCTGTGTCAAGCTGATGGGGTTTCAGGTTGATGATTTAAAAATGATTATGTAGAACTTTAGTATTTTTTTAATAGAACTTAGAATGCTAAGGGTTGGAAGGGACCTTAAAGATCATCTAGTCCCAACCCCTCCTGCCATGATTTTTTAAATTTATTTGTGTGTAATGACCATAAAAGTGGGCAAATGCTGAAACAGGTTGCCCAGAAATATGGAACATTCATCATTCAGATGGAGCTTACCTGAGCAACCTGATCTAATCAGTGCTGCTTTTAGCAGCATTTGGACTGGTGAACTTCAGAGGTCCCTTCTAATGTAAATATTCTATACTTCTGGTAGTTCAGAAATCCCAGTTTATAATGTGGAATATACATCTGTGAAATTCAGAGCTTAATTGAAGCAAAAATGCTTAATTATGAATATACAGTTAGTGTGTGACTCTACTGTAACTGAAATTCTTTGCACACAAAAATAATTCTCTTTCACATCCTGTTTCAAGTTTAAATATAAAATGGTTTCCAAATCTCAGACAAGCAAAGAATGAGCTCACCTTATGCTCTTGAGTAGAGGGTAAATGTTCTTTCTTTTGGGAAATCCCTCTGTCAAGAAAAAAATTAAGGTTGTTTCTCTCACACCTGATACTTTTTCTTTGCAAGGGTCAATACTAGATCCTGTATTTACTCACATGTTAGGGAAGGATCCACATTTTGTTGTCAATTTTTCATGCACTTAGGACTGGAGGAACGGTATGGCATTTTCCTTGCTGATGTGAACTAGGAACAATGGTAGTGTTATTCTTCTGTGAAATATGCAAGCCCTCTGTTTGAGATTACAAGCCTCTCAGGCTAGAATATTGTTGGTTCTTCACTGTTACAGAAAACCCACGATATTTCTTTAATGTATGTTAGACATTTGCAATTGCTTGTTGAAGAGGAACTTTCTACTGCTGCAGGTGTAAGTTCTCAGCCAGTAGAGTGTGTGTTGTCCACGTCATCACAGAAGGTACCTGGCATAGACACTGTGGGGATTTGGACGTGCTTGTAATTTTCTAAATGCTTTCAAGTGATTTACAGTCTATAGTGATAACTGTTTATTTGTTTACATAGATGGAGAGGCTCCCCAGGTTTTGTCAATCCATGATTTACAGACAACTACTTTGACAACTAAAACTGATGGCAATGATGGCAAGACTGAACACCTAGAGTATATTGCATTTGCTTTGGTTCCTGTTTTCTTCATCATGGGTCTTTTGGGGATCCTTATCTGCCATGTCCTTAAGAAAAAAGGTTATCGTTGTACAACGGAGGCTGAAGAAGTAGAAGAAGAAAAACTTGATGAAAAAATAGGTAATCAAGTCTAATAAACAAGTTCCTATTTCTGTACATTGCTACTGCTATGAAATAATTTATTGTGAGATTTCTGACATTTCACTGTCTATATTTGACATCAAAGCAATATTAAGAAAAATATCTTTATTACTGTATACCAGTTGGGTTTTGATCTTTGCCAATCAAAACTAGCAGTGTTACAATTTCCCATGCAAGTCCTTTAACATCAGTTAAGAGCTTACAGAGGGATCAAATTATCAGTATATTTCTTTGCAACTCCACAGTGCAGTTGGAGTCACCAGATAACATTTTGCATTCTACATGCTGTTTACAACAAAGTATTAGTTTACATAGTTCTATGTGAGGAGTAGCAAAAGGCTGCCATTTAAAGCCTAAAATCTTAGTTTCATGTTTAGCAATCTTAATTTGCACCTCTTGTGCTGTCATGGTCGTCTCCCCTTCTCCTTATAAAAAACCAAGCCTTTGGACTGAATGGCTGCATTCTGTTTTAATGGAATGTCTGCTTCTTGTAATTTTTTCTTAAAGATACCTTTATTTTTATCCTAATGTTTGTTTGTACCCTCATTTTTATGGTTCCTTGTTCTCATCTGTTCTTACTTGGGGAAAATAAAAGGGCATTATCACTTGGGAAGGGATACAGTAACCCAGTACAGCATTTGGCTAAGTAAAAACAAGAGCCAAGTCACTTGTAAATACTCTGGGCCTCTTTGTTTCTTTCAATTAATTTCTTTCAGTAGGTTCATAATGAATGTAAATTACAGTGGCTCTGTGGTGAGGGTAGAGCCATGTGGTGCAGTAATGATGTGTTGCTGTGTTCTTAAGCATTTACTGCCTGGGGCATGTGAGGAGTGAGTGGAACTGTCTGGTCTGTCAGTTCACCTGAGTGTTAACAGCAAGGGAAGCCATAGAGTAGTGAAAGGGGGACATCACCTACCTCTCAGTTTTGGGAAGTAGCTGTTTCTAAGTTACATTGTGGAGTTGCAGGTGTTAAGATGAAGCATGGGTACAGAGATTTACTCATTTACTGTGCAGTGAAAAATTTAGGGTCTTGCCTGTCAAACTTGCCTCAATCCTTTAATTTTTAATAAAGCTTTATAACAATTATTAGGGAAGGGCAGAGTTTTGCCTCTTGGCTGTTCTAGTTGTCCCACTGATCTTTTTCAGCCTTCGGAAGTTATTCTGTGGAAGCTTTCAGTACTGTTAATGGGTGCTTTCTATTCCAAAAGTTTTCAGATTTTTTTTTCATTAAAGTAATCAGTTGTTATGTCCTTGTAGATGTGGTGAAAAACTTAAATTGAATTCTTGTCATATTAGAAGCCAATAATACCTGTTTTAAAATAGTGACTTGAGACAGTTAAATGATCTGTTTTGTTTTGGTTTTTTCTCCCTAATATTAGGATTAGAAATACTGCTCTCTTTTTTGTCTCCTGCTTAGTAGCTACAGAATGAGTTTTGGCGTATGCTTGTGAAAATACTGCGTTTATTTAATTCTTAGCTGAATTTCTTAGAGCTGATGTATAGATCGTAAACTTGTGTTCATATTTTTTCCTGAATAAGGACTGAAAAGTCTTATTAGCTTTTCCTCCATTGTGACAATAGATCTTGTCTTTTTGTTTTTTAATATAGTTTCTTCTGGTGTGTTTGGTTTTGTTGTGGCTTTTTTAAAATTTTGTTTTAAAATAATTCAGTTCTTTATTCAGAAGCCCAAGATACTGACAACATATTTATTTCTTTGCACAGAAATGAATGAAACTATACATGAGAATAGTGACACTGTGGGACAAATAGTTAACTACATCATGAAAAATGAAGGTATAGTATTGGGACATTGAAGTTATCAGCCTTTGTGATGGTATTCTGTAACAAATATGTTTTTTTCAGATAATCTGAAGTGTGTGTTTTCATTTAATAAGTGATTCGTTCATGCTTAGCTCTTCGAAATTGCCTTCACAAGGCAAAACTTCAAGCAGAATAGGAAAGTTTTTCGCTTACTCCAGAGTTATTTTGTATGGTAAGATAAGGTCATGCATTCTCTCATACTTTAACTGTTTGGGTATTTGATTTTTTTTTTTCTTTGCTTCAACCTTTTGCTTTGTTTGTGAAGTAAAAGCTCAAAGTTGCTTTCTTAGTGTCAGTGTTTAAAGCCTGTGGGAAACTTGTGTGTTTTGACTAGATTAAACTTTTTGTCTTGAAGTGATTTTTGCAGCTCTTGTCTGATGCAAGGTTTGTGCATGAGTGAGACAGTAGCGTGTACTAACAGTAATGGCGTCTTCATGCGCTGTGTGTGCAAAGTAAAGGATAAAGATATGACTGAACAAATAAAATCGTAGTTAAGCATCCCACGGAATACTTGGTTAGTTCAGAATGTATTTACCCAATAGAAGAAACTTTTAGGAGACTGGATGTTTTTATAGTACAAGAAGCTTTAGCCTTTTAATTTTGTGTAAATCAGAGTTCTAAGCATTGAACTGGCTTTGAGTTACTTCTGAATGAAGACTAGTCCTCTGGAAAAGTGGTATTTTTTGGGTCTGTGTGTGGGGCTTTTGGGGTTTGTTGTTTGTGGGGTTTTTTGTTTGTTTGTTTAATTTTTAAAATATTTTTTTTAACTTTTAGGGCTTTGAGCTTGTGTATTTTTCTTTGAGGTTGGGATTAGGTAATCTGTGTGTGTTTGAGAATATGTGAGCAATTGATAGTGCTTGGGTGATAATTAATTTGCATTTTGTAGGGGTCACTTAAACCGGTGTTCTTAATCTGAAGTTGCTTTAAACATGTGAGGTGATTCAGAGATCTTGTTTGAGAGTTCTGTGCAGACAGCTACGTTATATGGCTTGTATTGGGGTGGAGCTTTGAACTGTAATTTTAGTAGCTTATGTTAAGAAATTCCTGTAGCATTATATTAACATTTTTTTCCTGTAATTTTCTCTTATGCCTTTTTGGAGATGTACATAATGCAGTCATCTTTCTTTTAGATGAAATTTCTCTGAGGAACTTAAATTTTGCTTTTTCTTTTTTCTGAAGTTAGAGCCGTTCACTTTTGAAGAGTTCTGTTTATTCTCATTGCAGCAAATGCTGATGTGTTAAAGGCCATGGTAGCAGATAGCAGTGTCTTTGAACCTGAAAGGTAATTACTTGTCATTTTAATGCATGTTTCCTGAGGCAACTAAAAACATACCTTTTCAAAGGATTTTGTTTCACAAACACTTTTAAGACTACATTGATTGCTTGAGCTACCAGCTAAGAGGATAGTACTTAGATTTTCTGTGGTGTCTGACTCCCTAAATTTTAGTATATGCCCTAGATTGGTGACTGGCACTTCTGGGTATGTGTTCGGGGTGTGCGATACGGTTTTACTTCTTGTTGAGCTAAAGATTTCTGGTTTGCTTCAGAGTGAAGTTACTTAGAAGGTGGCTTAGTCCAAAACTACTCTGACTTGAAGAGGCAGCACTTATTTAATTTGTGTGGATGTCAACTTAAAATAGACATCTCATTCTGTGTCTCCTGGTTTATTTTTTTCTTTGTAATTGTGGGAATATACATTGGCTGACCTATCTCTTACATTTTTTCACTGCACTCTTTAGATAATTATGTAGAGAAAGTAGTTCAGCCTTACAGATGCATCATATGTGTCAAAGTATTTGTAGATGCATCATATGTGTAAGAGTACTTGTATCTGTACATAAGTACCTTTAACTGTATCTACTACTACTTTAAATCCTCTTCATTTGTAACCCTGTGTTCATATTCAAGGCAGAGAAGATGGAAGTTCAAGTAGTATTGTGTCACCTATAAAAGAAGTGGGAGTATATAGTTTTAGCAAAACAAAGTTGAGTATGCAGCCATTAATCACCTGTTCTAATGGTGAGAGTCTTGGTTATTGAAGAAAAAAAAATTGAACTTATAAAAGGATTTCTTCTCAAGTATAAGAATTATTTTTAAGCTTCTGTGGTGCAGTAGAAATATTTGTTTGACTATTTTGGTTAGGCATGTTTAATGTTATTTTGGGAGTTTTTGACTATAGTTTCAGTGGTGAATTAAAATATGAAAAGTAAGGGGGAGAGAAAAATTGTTTGCTCTTACAGAATTTGACAGATACTCCTAAAGCTTTTGTAATCAAGTGCAAATCTACGGTGTACCTAACTTCAGTGCACTGTAAAATAATTTCTAATTATAGAATAATAATGGCTGAGTAAAATCTGCACTTCTGCCACTTGAAGCCATTAGTTCCTGTCTTTGCTTCTGATACTGAACAGATTTTATTTTTCTTAATAGCATTTTCTTGTTTATTTGAAGACCATTAAATGTCTGCTGTCAATATTTTTATTTGGAAAATAAGCATCCAAGTAACTCTAGTCTTCTACAGCATGTTTTACTTCTTTAATTTGTTCTTTCTGTTCTCCTTTGGAGTCTCTTCAGTTTGTTAGTATTTTTCTTGAAATAACATTCCTAAACCTGCATAGTAGTATCAGCTGTGTCATGATTAATGCTGAGTAATGTAACTTTAGGTTCACAGGTTATACTCCTGTTATTTCCACTGTGAAGTTTGTTCTTAAGCAAGACCATGTTCATGATTCATGTTCAGCTCATGATTATCTTTTTCTGAAGTGATCATCTGTTCAGTTGCTTTTTCATCTGGGTTTGTGTAAAGGTTTTCTGCTAAAACACTGAAAATTGTGTTGTCCTTACTGCAACTCATCCAGTATTTTTAGTAAGATTTCTGTACATGTGAGTGTCTTTCACACTCTCCTCTGACCATTGTAATTTCTTATCTTGTCCTCTACAGTTGCTGTGGGTGATCTAAAGTCTGTGGGTACTTTAGCTATTCTTCTATTCTATTACCCAGTGAACTATTTAAAACACTGAATATCATCAGGACCAGAATAACCACACTCTGTATGTCTTTCCAGTTTCATAGTAACTACTGATACATAACTTTCTGTATGTCTTTTTAGTTTGTTGGGTTTTTTTTTACAAGGTGTGCTACCTTACTCTACAGTTACTTCACCTTTCATGAACTCTGGTTTGCTTTAGGAGAATGTGTTGCATGACAGTGTCAAAATGGATGCTGAAGTTCAAAAAAGTACATCTGGTTTCAATCTGTGCTGTTTTTCTGGTTTAGAATAAAATTATATTTATTTGATTAGATATTCTCAAATGCCTTTTGGTGGTTGTATTGCTTTTTCTTTCTTTCTAGGTACTCAAATTTTATTTTTTCCCCTGAAACTAAATGATAAGTTCATTTCTTTTTGTCATAGACATTTTAGTTTTGCCTTTTTTCATTATGGGACTATGCTTTTCTTCTGGGAGTTCTTTGAGATACTGTAACAATTCTGAAATACTTTCCATAGTTCTCCAAGTGTGAATGTAATCAGCCTATTGGATGTCTTCATCAGTATAAGTTCATGTAACTTGTTCTTTTCTATTTTAGGCTGATTTTTTTTTCTCTTCATTTCCTTGCCTTTTGTGTTAGTTACTGTAATCACATGACTGCTGATTAATTAATTTCTGGAAGTGATTTTGACTGCAAAAATATGGTATCAGAGGGAATCTTAAACCACACATTCTCACAAATAAATGATCCCTGAAAAAACTAGCTATTCACCAAACCTAACTGAAGGTTATATCTTATCTTTTTTTTTTTCATTTTTAAGAAACTGGATTTTATAGTAAACATTAAATTTCCTTTATACATTTTCTTATAGCCCTTTATCTCCTACCTCTCCTGAGAGTCCAATGAGTCCAGGGACTCCTTTGTCACCCGGTGCTGTTCCGTTCAAGCACAACTGCAAAGCCCATCACTTCCATACTGTTGGAGGAGTGGTAGAAAAGGATGTTTGTACTCGCTGTAGTCACAAACGATGGCACCTTATAAAGCCAGCTCACAAATCTAAAGAGAACAGAAGAAGTCGTATTGGAGAAGTTACAGTCCTTTCTGTGGGAAGGTAAGCCTTAGATCATTTTGCTGTATACTTTTCTTAGGAATGCTACAGTGGCCAGTGTTGGATCAGATGTCCATTGATTCAACTCTGTTTATAGCATCAGTGATTTTTTTTTTCATACCCCTGTTAGTATTAGACTGAAATTATTTCTGGAAGAAATAAATGTGATATTTTTAAGAACTATGTAAAAAGATGGAGATTTACTGTGGGTATAAATCCAGTGCTATTGCTCAATTGGTACAGGCTAAAAAGAAACAAGGATTGCACGCTTAATAAATTCCTCTGATATTTCTCAAGTAAGTGTGAGCTATAGAAGCCACTTCATTCTCCTTGCTATTTTTAATTTCTAACTTCTGTTGTAGTTCTCTTTTAAAATTACTGTTCTAAGAAGTAGGATGCAATGTGTGGATTCTGCTTTAAAACAAAATTTCCTGAGAAAGTGTGATTCAGCAGTAGTGAATATTAGAAAGACATGTAGGTAATAATAGGAAGGAAGATTGCTCTGAAGTGAAGCAGGGTCTGTGTGGGTGTCTGCTCTGATGTCTAGTTCTTGAGACCTGGAAATTTGTTCCTTCTCATACAACCGGTTCTGAGAATGACCTAACTAATCTCTGGGGAAATAAAACTCAATCTTTCTTTTGTTTCCTTAAGATTTCGAGTCACAAAAGTGGAGCACAAATCAAATTCCAAAGAACGGAAGAGCTTGATGTCTGTTACTGGCGTGGAGAGTGTCAATGGTGATATGCCTGCCATGCCTGCGAAACAAGAAGTGAGCGAAGCACCTGCCACGCCAGTGAAACAGGAAATGCAGGAGAGGAGAAGCTCAGAGAGGAGAAGCTCAGAGTAAACTGCAGGTATCAAATATTTGGAACTCGTATTGAAAGCATTATGTTGTGAAATACGTGAAGTAATCAGTAAAGTTGAAAATGTATCAGTTCTGTTTGAAAACTCATCTTTCAATTACAAGCTCTCTACACAAGTCTGCGAAATTTATATTTGATCGCTCAGTTAATGATAACTTGGTAAAAGCTTATTTACCCACCAAGTTCTTACCTAATTGTTTTTTTCAGACCTTTTAATTAGAGTAGATGTTGAAATAAAAACTTCTTTGTGGAGGCGACATCACTAGTGCACGAAATAAAACATTTGCATATTAATTTTTGGCAATAAACAATGGCTCAGATTTAGTAGCAATGTGCTTATTACTCAAAAAAGTGCTACTGACAGTTGTATCACTCAAATAACTAGGGTGCTTCTTCCCTGTGCTTGCTGCTTTGTACTGTGTGATTATTTGAGATGATTGCTTACTGGATACTTCTCTGATAGATCAGTGGAGCTTTGACTAATAACAATGAAGACATGAAACTGCCTGTATCACAGGGGTCTAACTGAGCCAGGTGGTTGGGGTTTTCTTGTGAGTCATTAAACTTCAGTGAATTGCTCGAGGTACCCTATTAAGCATGTCAAAAACATGTCTGGCATGGTTTTGGAATGCAACCCTGACTATGTTGGTTTTTTTAACTGTTCAGAATGTTGGGGGAAAAAAACCCTGTAAGTTAATATGGTTTGCTTCTAATTGATGACACGCTGATTGATAATATGAAGGGGAAAAGTGATTTTATACCACTGTCATTCAAATTCAGACTTGACCCTTAAGGAAGAAAGGTTCTGGGGTGGCATAATAAAGGTATTGGACTTGAAGATAGTGAACAAAGTGCACAGTGTTCTGTATGCTGAGAGAAAGGATAAAATTATGTTGTGTCAGCTCTGTCCAGTTTCAAACTCTTGTTAACTTCAAATAGGAGAGGGAAATGCACAAGAGGAAATTGGGCCTGTTTACATATGTAACAAGACTCAAACCCCCTTGAGTGTCTTGAGATTAAAGTAGAGAGCTGGTACGCAATGGGGTTACTTCTTCCAACATTTGCTGGCAGCTCAGGTTTGACTGTTAGACTAATCAGAGTGTATTTGCCTGGCTGCTGTGTCACATCGTTTTTTTGAACCATTGCTATAGAGAAAGAAAGACTTGGAGTTGTGGTATGCTTCCAAATATTTAAAAGTTGTGGAGGGTAATGAAATAAATTGTTTTATTTGCTCAGTGGCTAAGAAGATAATAATAGGCTAAATTACAAGGAGGTGGAGTTCAGGTTTCAAAACTTAAAAAGCTGGAATAAGGTATTGCATCTTTATTGCTGGACATTTGTAAGACCAGACTGGACAAATGCTTTTCAATACCAGTGTTTTGATTTTTGTTCTGTAACAAATTTTTGCAAGTCATAGCTGCCTAGTGGCTGCTGTTTCATTGTTTCTGTGTAATCTGTGAAGAATCTACAGATGTCAGTGAAAGGCAAACTTTACTCTTAGTTTCTCATTCAGAATTATGTCCTTGTGCTCAGGTTTTTTTTAATGTTGGTGTGGTTTCTTTTTTATTTCTTCCCTTTTTAAAAATCAGTATTAGCTAAATGCAGTAGAAGATAACCTCTTCCTTCACTGGCTGCATTGGCATTTCTGTGCCCAGCTAATTGTTTTATTGCTCCTATGACTATTGTTATTTCTTTTCTAGATGTCTCATGGTAACATCATCAGATTGTTTATAATACGATGTTCTTAATTGAAGGCAGGCTAGTTATCTTCTCTTTAAACATAAGAAATAGAAAGGAAGGGGCATATATGAAAAATTTCAGTGCGTTTTGATTGAAAAAAATGTTTTGAAATCACTCTAAAAATGTTTTGTAGTCCAGTTTTCTTTCTAATTTGTTCTTTCCTCTCCTAAATAAGAAAGCTTTTTTTTGTAATTACCTAAAAGTTCTACCATTACTATTTTAATCTAAAAATAAGTTGTTCTCTAGAGAGATACGATAGTAAAGCTATAAAAAAATTGTCCATCTATGGCAGCTTTTTATTGTAGAACCTCCCTTAGGATTAAAGTTTTGCCCCTTCTGAAAACAAATGTTCTAATAGCAGAGAAATGGCTCCGCAGAATCTTTTAATGGTCTCTCCAGTCCAGTAGAGCTATTTTGTAAATCAGCTGGTAAATTAGCCAGACCTTTTTGATGTGTACTACAAAAAATAAACATCTTGCTTGAAAGGCTTTGATACTGTTTACTAGCACAGTTCTAGATCAGTTTTTGTCCACTGTCATGAAAATCTGTTCACATGTAAACAGGTACTAGTTAGACCTTTACTTAAACTACTTATTTCAGACTTCTAATAAATTATTGTAGCTTAATTTATTGAAACTGAACAGATATGCAGCATTTAAGACTTTTGTGCCTCCAGTCAATAAATGTCTGATTAAAAGCTTATAGTTCTGGGAAATTTGGCTCAAATCTTCAGATGCAGAGGAAGAAGGCAAACACAGATGTGTGTTTAACTGCTGCCAGAAAAGGTTTGTTCTGTCATTCGGAGGCAGTAGATTTGTGCTTTGTGGCTGACTTTAACCACTGTTACTGAGAGTTCCTGCATGAGATGGAATTCCTGAGTTGGGCAGTCCCTCAGTGATGTAGTATTGCTGGTTGCTTGTGTTCACTGTTCTCAAGTTCAGGGCTTTTTTCCCCTAAACTGACATGTTCTGAAGTGACCTTTGTAGTGTTTCAGCTTATCCTGTGCATTGCTGGCTGCATCATTTGAAGTTGTAGCATGTCTTTTCCGTGTCTCCAAGGTCCATGTTCTCAGCAGGCTCCATTTCATCAGTAAAGTTTATTTAAAATATACATAGTGGCACATAAAAGAAGTAGTAGATACACAGCTGATAGCTAAAGTCAAAACTTTTGAGTTGACCTCTTGCACATCCGTTTTAAGTACTGGGTAAACAAGCACTGGTACGCTGAAGCTGTGTAACATTTTCCATTCCTAGTGCTTTGCACTGTGGTGTGATTTGTCAGTTTGTCCATGTGTTTGTCTGTTCTTTTCAAGAAAACCAGCTGAATTTTTAGTTTGTCTTTAGGAGTTCACATGCTAAATGTGGAATGCACCACAACCACTTCATGCGATTGTGGCTTTTTTTTTTCCACTTCAGAGCATCTGCTAGATTTTTAATTGGTGTGTTCATCCTAAAACTAATTTTGCTATTTAGGTTTATTTTTAGAATTGTTTTCTTCTCTTACAGGTGGAACTTTTAGAAGAAGCTCGTCTGTGAGCACTTTGGAGAAAACTGAAAACTCCCAGGAGATGCATACTATTTAAGGAAATGTATTTATGGCACTGCAGCATTTTACAGGTTCTGTGATGGCATTCATGCAAGGTTGAACACTTAATGGGTTTTGACCAGTAAAATCAGTAAGATTTAGACACTTAAATACCGTTGAGCTGTGTGGACATCATACCAAGTGGCTTCGTCTTGGAAAGAAAGCATACATACCAGTTTTTGGACAGGAAAGGTAAAAGCCTTATGAAGTCTTTAATTTTTTTTGTACTTAGACAAACATTTCTAGTGAGCTCAATATTAAGAGGAATACAATGACCCCGTGGATAAACTGCGTTCACCCCAGTGGTCCATCTGGATTTTTCTTCTTCTGTTCTGCCCACTCCAGAATTGACAAGTGTTTGCTGAGGATAAAAGCCAGGCTTTGAAGGATGAAAATATTCTTTTAATCTAACTTCTAGGAGCCAAGTAAAACATACAAGGAAATAATTATGTCAGCCAAATCTGCATCTGTGCCTTTAGTACATAAGCCCTCAAACTCTGTGAAGGGTACTTCACAGCAGAGTGGTTCAGCTATATGCAGATGTTAAATTAAATTGTTGTTTTCCCCCACCCCTTACCTTCTCCTTACTACTTAATATAGGCTGAAGAGCATATTTTCCTATGCAGTTAGATGAGCTCTTGGGAAGATTACTTTCTTCAAGGCCTTTTGTTCTCCCATGTTCTTGTAACTACTCACTTGTATTTGAAGAATACCTAATAGTTTTGCTTTTTTTTTGTTGTTGTTTTTACCCACAGGTTCCTTATTAAGCTAAGGCAGCATATTTCAACCCTTAGATAAGGATATGGAATATTTGGCATTAAAAAATTTATGGCATATATACTAAATTGCTTCAGAGTGGCTTTATTGGACTGAGGGTAGCTGTTTTCATTGGCACCAAAATCTTAAGCCAGTGTCACTCCTTTCATATTTTAAGTGTGACTTACTGCTAAAAATACCATGGTATTTTGATGTTAATTCTTTGTGTCTACTTATGATCTCTGCTTTGTCCTATTACTTGTTCTGGGGAGAGAAATCTCTGTAATACTTAGCAAACTTTTCTATGTAATAGAAACTGAAAAATAACATTTGTTCTGAGTGCCTAAGAATGTAAGCTCTAATGTAATGCATTTTAGTAGAGATTGCACTATATTCTGAGAACTGTAACTTAATCTGCTTTATGAACTCAATGAAAATCAGCATATGTTTTTGAAATTGATTTTTTTTAAATTAATACCTTCAATCTTTTTAATCCAAGTGCTCTGAACTGTTTCTCCTTCATATCTGAGAATTGTGTTCTTCATCAATTCATACAGTGTTAACAGTCAGTGTGTACAAAATTAATCTTTCTTGTGTATTAGATACTCTTGTGTCTTGTCAGGAAACATTAAGTTTTTCACTCTTGGTGAAAGCATGTGCTGCTGATGGTCTTCCTTTTACTTGTATCCCCAAGATATTGATTGGGCCTATTCAGTGATGCTATATTTGCCAAAAAACCACACCACTGCCCACCAAAACTTTGAAAATAATGTGTGTTTGTTTGTGTGTTTTGTTTTTGTTTTTATTTTTTAAATTGATGTTTTTAGAGATAATCGTCTGTCCTTGAGAACCCAAAATAATTGTTTGGCTAGGACCAGAACCTGAGTGTTCAGCATCCCTGCTCCCCTTAATTTAAACTTGGCTTATGAAATCTCTTCAGTATTTAAGTACAACATAAACACCAAGCTCACCTTATAGGCATCTGTTAAGCTTCACTTGATTATTAGTGTGAAGAAATAATATTTCTAGAAAATGTAATTAGTACTGATTATAGTAGTTAGCTTTCAGTTTCCAAGAGATTGATAGCTATGAGTATAAAATGTTGCTGGGAAAAGGGAATATTGGGCAAAACCAAGCAGTTTCAAATAATATTCAGAAAGGAATTACACAATTACAGACTGTTCCAAAAATTTTTTTTAAAAAAGGGTGATTTATTTTGATACTGTGTTTTGATACATGATGGGTTAGTACTGCAAATAAATTTGTCAAAAGGATGGAAGAAAGTTTAAATAGAAATATGTATTTTTTTACTTATTATAAAAGTAGTTTCTATTTTGATTCCATTGAAAATATGTACAATAAAGGGAATGGAAAGATGTTGGATATGTAAAATGTTTACCTGTATAAAATGGTTAACTAAGGTATTATCAGATCTGATATGTTCAAGAACTGAATTTATGCATTGCTTCTTGAGTAAGAGAGGATTTAGAAACTGTGCCTGTTTCACTGCCTTTAACACTACACTGCTATTTTATAGGGGTATGGATATTGCTATATTAGTTTGCCTTTCTTAAATTTGCATATCAAATGTATTTTAACAAAATAGTTTATATACAAGTTTTATACTACCAAGCAGTAAATAAAAAAATATTGATTCTTAAGCTTGCTCGTGACTTCCTTAAGCCTGCATCCATTGGGTGGAATTTAACACAATCTTAATGTACAATGCAATCTCTTTGCATCTTAAGTTTTTGTTTATGGAGGTAGTAAGGTTAGGTGATTGTGTGATGTACTTCAGGGCAGTTTTATTTTCTTCAGAAAGGACAAATATTACTTTAGTTCCATGTTTTATATGGAAAAGAATGAAATCTGTGCTTTAATCAAAGCTGGTATCTAATCAGATTAAAAGTATCAAGACTTTTAACTTTTTATTGTATTTGAGATTAAGTTTTTAAAAAATATGCAACATTATTCTCAATTCTTTTTGTAAGGTAAGGAATGAAAAATCACAAATGACAGCAAGTTCTTGCAGTTGTTTCCTCTCAGCCTGTGTCTTTCTGTGCTTAATTTGTTACATTATGTTCTCACAGATGACTGATCTGTAAATGGCATTAAAAATGGGTTTTGCTGTATGAATAGTGAAGGAGACTTGAAGCAAGTTGTTATGGCTATCTGAGATGTAATTATCAGTGTACCATCCTGTTTGCAGGTTTGGGTTTTCTTAATTTTTTTCATTGTTCCTACCTGTCTCACATAGGGTCTGTTTTCAGCTCTGGAAATTCAATACACTTTGATTCTCATTTTCAGGGATTTTTTTTTTCTGTTCCTTTTTTTCCTACATAAGAATTCTGTATAGTACACATTTTTTATTAGATATGTACATATACTGAAATACAAAAGGATTGCTGTTATTAAAGTTTGAGAAATTCTGTTATAACTGGACTGAAACAGGGAAATCCTCAAAAGAAACACGAAGAATTTTTTTCCAGATGGATTTTGGGTTTTTTACATGGATAATACTTCTGTTACTTTTCCCCCAGTAGAGGCACTTTATATTTTTAGTAAAACTATTCAAAAATTCAGGATTCTCCCTCATGCTGCTGTAGGAAAACAGTCCAGGGAGCTACTTCTATGTTTAATAAAATCTGATTTTACTGGTGAAGAACACAGAGCCCATGTGCAATGCATTTTTGAAACATGGTAAGGATTAAAGCATTTCTCTTGCTTCTGAATCTCTTTGTAGAACAACCTCATTTGACAAGCATAGTGTACCTGGTTTCTCCTCGCCATTTTATTTCTGAACTATTTCCCAGTTTCGTTTTTTTTGACAAAATCAGTACCATATATGGTCCCTGTACTCACAAGTGTGTTGTGTGTCGCTTGGTGAAAGATAGTGTTACTTCAGCCAGCTGGTGTCGTTTTGGGGGAATGCTAAAGCACAAGTGTTTGTCTGTGTCCTTCAAGTCTGCTGATGGTTTTTACAGCTATGCAGTGTTTGTAGGAATGAACTTGGGCTCCAGTATTCCTGAAGAGTGTGTGTGTACAACTTAGTGGGGAGCATTTTGAGCCTGCCAGAGAGATGAGGCTGCTTGTAGGGCTGTGTAGCAGAACTGAACTGAAAGGCACAGAAGAGGGAAATGGGCACTAAGTGTGATAAGAAACAACAGGAGAAAAGAGTGTCAATAAATTTCTTTTCTACTTGTTTGTTTTCCCCCCCCCACACAAATGACTTGAGCTTGTACAAAATCATGTGGGTTTAAAAGTGCCTTTTAATGAGATTATTCTTTTCTGGATGAGAGGAGGACATATGGTTTGGTAGTGCTGAAAGTGTCTACTGGGTCGGAATGTGAGACTGTCTCTTCTGAGGAATTAAGTTTCCTGCATGTTTAGTGGTTCTTGAGTACTCCCACCTGTGCCCCAAATGTAGTCTGAAGTGTAAATCAATTTGTATCTATTAATTTAGGGTTTCTGTGCACTTTAGACCTGTTCTTTCCTTTTCCCTGCTAAGTGTGTAATGCTACTGCTAATGAGTAAACAAGAAAACAGAGTGGTTAAGCCTTGGTTATCTAATATTAATGAACAGTATGTAAGACTTGGACAGATAAAGATGGATTTAGATTTAACTTTTTTCTCAGTGTTCTGTGAACTCCTGTATTTTGGGATTTTGAGGGAAGTTTGCAGTTAGGCTTGAAGTACTGGCAGATGCTGGATATGATTTCCACTTCTTTGATTTTCTGTATCCTTGTTGATTTTTTTTTTTTTTTAATTTTAAGTTTTTAAAGGTTATTTTTCCTCTCCAGAGGTAGGGGACATGCACTAAGATGCTGCTGGTTTGTTTACTCGAGCCATAATTTGATTGTACCTCTTGTTCTGGACACTTCGTCTCCCCTGTCTGCACCACCTGATACAGGGCTGGCTGATGGTGGAGCTACCACTGCACAGAGCTGCAAGGCAACCTGTCAGCCTTGGAGCTGCCTTCCTGGCAGGTTAAAGTCATCTGGTGAGGCAAAACTAATTAAAGGATATGTATGTCTGGAGCGAGTCAAGGAAAAGGAAGCCAAACAGTTTGGGAAAGTAGGAGTCTGTTCTGCTAACTTTTGGAGAAAAGGAGGTAGGAGAGATGCCAGGCCCATAGTGCTGGAAGCAAGAAGATGGCAGAAGCCTCTGAATAGTGGCAAGGTCTGAGAACTCTCTGCCATGACAGTAAGCAACCTCTAAATTATCTGTGACTGGGGGAAAAGAGTGGGTTGGTGGTGTACTTGCTAGTAAGTTTAGGTAAGAGACACCAAGTCCCCTGTGACGTGGACAGGCCTTTGTCCGAAGCCAGTTATGTGGGTAGTGCTTGGCTATCTGTTTCTGGATGTGCAGTCAGACTTTGGCTCTGTGTAAATCTTAGCAGGGTAGGCCTTGTTGTATTGCAACTGAAATACCTCTTAAATTGTATCTGTGCAGCCTCTAGTGCTGTAGAGATGTGATGGCATCAAGTGGAGCTGCAACGTAGCTGCCTTACACAAAGGAGAATATATTGGCAGATGCATTTTTCTACCAATGTAACCCCTCAGTTTTATATGTGTAAACCCTCTGATCACCCCTTCCCTTGTTAGCTGTTCTTTCCTTGCCAGTTTTCAGTCAGTCATCCCAGTCCTGTTTCTTCTGGGCTGCAGTTGTTAGGTGTGCAGCAGTGGCAGGCAGGAGGCACACGTGCTGGTGTGGCACAGTTGTGTTGGTGGTCTTGAAATGCTGGTCGTGGGGAATAGAGAGCATTGGCTTCAGTAAACTTTTCATAGCTGTCAGCATGCAGCAGAAAAACAACAACAAAACAACTAACAAACCTAGCTGGTACCTGCTGGCACTGATGGCAGAGGGGCTGCTTCGGAGAGGAGGCAGCAACCGGGATTATGACAGATACACAGTTAAATACCCAGGTAATGTGGTTTGATTTTCATGCTGAATAAGATACTATTTTGAAATTATCATATGAAAATAGTATTTAATTACTGGTCTTCAATATTTTGATTTACAGTCAAAATAATTATAAAAAGCAGCAATATTAGGAGAACCTTAAATTAAAATACCCATAATATTTCCCAAATCTTATTTTCCAAGGATTCTACATACCTGTGTGTGTATACACGTACACATATATGCATAGAAAGCAAGACAGGAATGCCTTGTTTTCTGTCAGATACAAGCAGATTTTGGGTAGAGCAACTGAATTATATATTTGCTGGCAGCAGAGGGAGCTATGAAGCTTTTATTGATAATTCAAAGAAGTTGGAGTGTGTCAGTATAAAAAAAATTAAACAAAAAATTTGAAAAAGCCCTAATTTATGGGAAATCTGAGGTGCTTCATGGGGCAGGGGCAGAGCTGTGGCTAGCCAGGACCCAGCAGCTTGGCCCCTCTCCTGCCCCGCATTGGCCTGGAAGTAGCTGCTGCAGCTGTTAAAAAGAACAATGTAAACTTCTCCCTGAGCCAGATTTTTAATCAAAGCAATGAGGAAGAACAGGATTTGCGTGTCATA